TCCCTCCTTCCTTCCTTCCTTCCTTCCCTCCCTCCCTCCCTCCTTCCTTCCTTCTTTATTACAGTGGCTAGGACTTTCAGTCCTGTGTTAAGCAAGAGCAGCAAGAGGAGACATCTTTCCCTGGTTCCAAGTCAGTCTTTCACTGTTAAGTAAGATATTAGCTGTAGAGTTTTGTTTTGTTTTTAAACATAATGCTTGTAATCAAATTGAGGAAGTTCTCTATTCCTAGTTTGCTGTGGGTTTTTATCATGAATGAGTGTTGGGTTTTGTCAGATGCCCTCTCTACATCAATCAATGTAATTGTATGATCTTTCTTCTTCAGCCTGTTGATATATTGGATTACACTGATCGATTGTCAAATGTTGAACCAGCCTTGCTTGCCTGGAATAAATTCCACTTGATCAGGGTGTATAATTATTTTTACATGTTGTTGGATTCAATTTGCTAACACTTTGTTGAAGACCTTTGTATCTAAATTCGAAGAAATATTGCTCTGTAGTTTTCTTTTTTGTCTGGTTTTGCATCGAGTTAATACTAGCCTCACAAAATGAGTTGAAAAGTGCTGCTTCTCTTCTGTTTCTAGAAGAGATTGTGTAAAGAAATCTTATATTAAAAAAATGTTGGCAACTAATTTCAATGATTTTTAAGCACTCTGTGGGCCAAACAAATGTGCCTGCTGGCTGGGGTTGGCTCCGGGCACGCCTCCCAGTAATTTCCACTTGAAGGAATGTTCTGTCTTGTGTTTTGGAGTTGAGAAGGGCACAGCTATGGGGTGAGTGCCCGCAAAGTGCACAGTACGGGCCACTAGACATATTTTGGCCTTTAGTCCTGCTTATTAACAAACCAAGCAGCTCAAGTTCAACCCCTTCTTTGGGGTCTTACGGATCCTTTTGGACCCCAAACCCCCTGCAGGCCCCACTACCAGCTACAAACACGATTGAGCAGTGGGCCAGGGCGGGAGGTACATCATTTTGTGCTTCAGGGGACATTTAGCAGTGTCTCAAGACAGTTTTTGTTGTCACAATTCAGAGATGGGGTGCTACTGGCATCTGGTAGGTAGAGGTCAGTGTTGCTGCCAAGTATTCTACAGTGCACAGATAGTCCCCGACAACAAAGAATTATCCAGCACAAAATGTCAACAGCGCTGAGGTTGAGAAGCCCTAGAATACAGGAACATGTGGCTTAACTGTTTTAACAGAATGCCTCGGGGAGGTGGGTAAACTTCTTTAACCTGAGATGTATTTCTACCTGAATATAGGCGAAGCTGAAAATGGCTGACATTTTCTCCCCATTCCTTTCACGAAACCCCCGTCCAGAATTGAATGTACACTGTTTACTTAGGATACACTCATAAAAATCAAATTGCGCTGTCAAATGAAGGGTTAGTACTTTCAAAAGGCTCTTGCTGTATACATTGTCAGAATGCCTTCCAGAACAGTGATGTCAACTTATACTTCTCTGAGCAGGGCATGAGATTCTGTCTCACTGCGTCCTGGCAGGCAATGGGTGTTCTAATGCTTCAGATCTTTACTAATTAGGAAGGTCAAATGCTGGTGTGGGGGGTTAAATAACCACATCCCATTCCACCCGTCCCTCATTTCTCACCTCCTACCAGCTCCTGACTCCATCCTCCCTCCTCAGCCTACATTCTCCTTGAGTGAGCAGATCTTTTCCTGGCTGTGCAAGTTTTCACTGCTCCAGCCTCAGCCAGACATAACCCTGTCTGGCGGATTTCAGGACCAGCTGAGGTCTGCCTTTGGTAGAGAAACAAATAGAAATGAAGCGTGGGTGTGTTCGGCTGCAGGACTCAGGGCTCTCCCAGGGAACTGGGCCCCAGACCTACCTTTCCTTTGTCTCCTGGACCTCGGCACCTAGTGACCCACAGCCACCCCAAGTCCCTCAAATCTGAACTCAGCCTTCTGCCCCCACCATGTTCATCCTCCTGTGATGATCCCCATCTTGGGTACCATGATCTACCTGGCCTTCCAAGACAGAAATCTGGGGGCTCCCCCTGACTCCACCCACTCCCACTCCCCACATGTGATATATTACCCTATGTCTAATTAATTGATGAATGGCCTGGCCATTTAGCCTTCCAAATTTCAGGCAGGCTAACTTTTTTTAAGCTTGTAAGAGACAGAAGCCTGTCTTCGGTGACCATAAGCAGAGAAAGGGATTGTTGGCTTATGGAATTGAGAAGTCCACAGAGAGAGTCTGGCTGCAATAGTGGCTGAGTCCAGAGACTCAAAAGATGGCTCTGGGGATCCCTCTCACTGGATCACATTCTGCTTTCCTCTGTGATTACCTAGTGTCCGGGAGGTGCCTCCAGCCTGGTAGAAAAGATGCCCTTGGTGTGTCCAGCCTCCACGCTTCTTCCAGTCAATGGTCCAGCCTTCTTTTTTTTCGAGACAGAGCCTCACTCTGTCACCCAAGCTGGAGTGCAGTGGCACAGTCTTGGCTCACTGGAACCACCACCTCCTGGGTTCAAGTGATTCTCCTGCCTCTGCCTCCTGAGTAGCTGGGATTACAGGTATGCACCGCCATGCCTGCCTAAGTTTTGTATTTCTTTTAGTGGAGATGGGGTTTCACTTCGTTGGCCAGGCTGGTCTTGAACTCCTAACCTCAGGTGATCTGCCTGCCTCAGCCTCCCAAAGTGCTAGGATTATAGGCATGAGCCATCCAGCCCGGCCCCAGCCTGCTAATCAGCCCCCATAAGGAATCTAACTGACCCTGATTGTGTCATGTCCTCTCTCTGAAGTCAATCATGTGCAGAATGTGGGACACTCTGATAGCCATGTGAGTCATGCACCTGCCTTAATAGGACCAAGGCAGGCCCAGCTCTATACCAGCGCCTTCAGTATCACTTGGAGTAGTTTCTCAAAAGGCATAAAGGCAGCACATATCCATGACATTATCTTTTCTGACCGTTTTTCTCGTCCCCCTCCCTGCTGTCACAACCCCACCCTCTCACACTAGGATCATTGTGAACACCTCCAAACTGCGATCTCTGCCCCAGAAGGCATACCTCTCATTACACCCAGGCCCCTCGGCCCTCAGGAGACTCTCTGACTGACTGTGAGTGTACCTGGAGGTCCCTGAATCCTGCTTGCTAGGGAAGGTTTGGAAAGAAAGATGCAAGTCTAAAGAAACCTCCTGTTCACAGATGAAGGAGCAGGCATTGAGGAGCAGCTGTGTCACCAGGGTGAAGGATGAGGGACAGGCCTGCCCGGTCCTGGCCCTTGTGTACTTCACACACCCTCGGGCTCCTGGTTCCTCCTCTCTCTCTGTTGTCTAATTTCTGGGATGTCATGGGCAGCGGGGGAACACACCTCATGGGTTTGGCTTGGGAATAAAAACCATGGCCAGGTGTGGTGGCTCACGCCTGTAATCCCAGCACTGTGGGAGACCGAGGCAGGTGATCACCTAAGGTCAGGAGTTCGAAACCATCCTGGCCAACATGAGGAAACCCCATCTCTACTGAAAATACAAGAATTAGCTAGGCAGGTCAGTAATCTCAACTACTCGGGGGGCTGAGACAGGAGAATTGCTTGAATCTGGGAGGTGGAGGTTGCAGTGAGCTGAGATCGCACTCCAGCCTGAGTGACAGAGTGA